ACATCATCTTGATCATAAGAACATGAATCAACAACCATTAAAAAAAACAAATGATAAAAATTTCAAATTAAAAATTTTAAACTATAAAAAAATATAAAAAGATTAGATAAAAAATCAAATTATTTATATGTATAATAAAATAACAAAGGTTATCCATGTGTCACATATTCATTTTCCCTTTTAGCATTAAGCTTTATTTGATAAAAAAAAAATTATACATGTATAAAATTATAAGCTGAAATGCTAACAAATCAAAAATATCAAAACATAAAAAATATAAAAAAAATGAGATAAATAATCAAAATCTTTAAATTAATCTATTATATGCATGCCTTTTTTTTTTCATGTTATATTGAAATCAAATACACTTTTTCTCCCGTTTGAAGAAAAAATAGCTTGAAAATAAACCTATGAATGTAAAAGGACATACAAAGTAAAACATGGCAAAACTTACACATTCTTTGAATTCTAAATGCAAATTCTTAAATCCATATATGTATTGACATGCATTTATACCAACTTTTGCTAAGTTACATGTTCAACCAAGGACTTTAAATCTTTTTCAGAGGCTAAACATTGCCATTGATGTTGCATCTGCATTGGATTATCTTCATCATCATTCACAACCATTGATAGTTCATTATGACTTGAAACCAAATAATTGTTGAAAAATCAATATGTACATGCAGAACCTACATATAAAATAGCAAACTTAAATCAAGAATAAAAACACACACAAATATATTTGTTTCAGCCTAACTCAAAATGGCTTATTCCAAACTTAATTTACTAATAAATAAATATTTACAACTGTAAGATTTTTGAAATGAGAAAAATCTTCAAAAATTCTTTGCTCAAAACTTAACCCAAAACCCAATTACACCCTTTTAATAGCCTATTCACTTAGCTATTCTCTTGGTGTTTAACTATCTGAGATTACTAAACCAAAACTAAAGCATTTTATTTATAAGGATGAAAACCTTTATATCTTTACTAAACTCCTGATGTGAGATACAAGACAAACTCAAACTCACTCAACTTTTAATGTGGTATTATGAGATTCAAGATAAATCCCAATAAATCCTCTCTTGACTTGAATCTCCAAACACTTCAACAATATTTGCAAAGCTCACATCCTTGCCTTTTTTTTTCCTCATCATAGGAATCCCAGTAATTGAACCTCCATCAAGCATGTATAAGTGATTTTTGACCTTATTCCTTTATAGAATCACACTATCATTCTTATGCACTTTCAACAAATCATTACATAATAGTATATGTACCTTCTAAAAGTTAACTCACCAAAAGCAATCAAATTATAGCTACAACTTGGTACACATCTTACATGACGAAGCATACCAATAACACGATTATGAGATCTAAGGTAAACACTCCTAATACTTTGAATTTGCACTTTTTCGTTGTTGGGAACTATAATATCCTTATACTTTTTATTCTCTTTTAAATTCACAAAGCAACTCCTATCATTACATACATAGACTTTAGCAATTGAATCTAAAACCCAACTTTTATCATCTTTTACAGTCTAATCTCATCCATACAAGTTGTCAAAATGACATCATCATCAAACACAATAGTAATAGTATCATTTTTTTCTTTATCTTATTTCTTCTCTTCATTTGCCCTTTTAAAAGTAGCATATCCTTTCTCAACCTCTTGCAGCGCATTTAGATGTCTTTTTTCACTACAATAATAGCATTCTATGTCACTATAATCTTTGTCTCTTGACTTGAATCTTTTTCTTAATCTATCAATCCTTTTTTAAATCCTCATTTGATTAAAATCCTCTACAGTTAGTGTATTCCCTCCAAATGATGAGTTTTGTGTTCTTATAGACCTTTTGTTCTCACACAACAAGATAGTCATATCATCCAATTTCAAAGTAGATTTACCCAACAATAAAGTCTGAACTAAAGGCCTATAAGACTTGGGCGAATATGACAACAAAATTAAAACATTCTCTTTATCTTCTAACTCATCAATAGAAACTATAAACAATTGAGAAACCAATCTATTAAACTCTTTTAGATGATTATAAAGACTCGTACCTTCTTTTATCTTTAAAGAATATAGATACATCTTCAAACGTAATCTATTAGTCAATGATTTTGATACATAAATACCCTTAAGCTTATCTCACAAATTTTTTGAAGTACTTTTAGTCAACACACTATACCTTACCTTTGAGACTAGCATCAATCTAATAGTATAAACATCTTTTTTTTTTTAATTTTAGTTCAATTACTATTAGACATTCCCCTAGGCTTACTACTCTTTAATGCCTAATTCAACCTTTGTTGTACTAACAGGTCTTGAATCGTACTTTATCATAACATAAAATTACTTTTTTCATCAAATAACATAATTTTAAACTTGGATATAGATATATTGGATATACCTTCTTTAGACATCTTGAAATACTAGCTTTACGATTTCTTAGGTCTGCCTCTTCTTCCCATGAACCTTAAACCTCATTCTGATATCACTTATAGAGAAATCAACACGCACACATAGAACCCACACACAAAATAGTAAGCTCAAATCAAGAATAAAAATACACACAAATATATTTGTTTTAGCCTAACTCAAAATTTCTTACTCTAAACCTAATCTACTAACAAATAAATCTTTACAACTGTAAGACTTTTGGAATAAAAAAAGTCACTAAAAACTCTTTACTCAAAACTTAACCTAAAACCTAATTACACCCTTTTAATAGCCTACTCACTTAGCTATTCTCTTGGTGTCTAACTATCTAGGATTATCAAACCAAAACTAACGCATCTTATTTATAAGATTGAAACCCCTTATACCTTTACTAAACTCTCAATGTGAGATATAAAACAAACTCAAACTCACTTAACTTTCGATATGGTATTATGAGATTCAAGGCAAATCCCAACAGTAATGTCCTTATTAATAATGACATGATTGCACATGTTGGTGACTTTCGCTTTGTAACACCCCAATCTCATATTAGAATAATTTGAAGTTCTACTATGATATATATGTAAAAGCTTAAACTCACATCTATGAGGTACCTTTTGTGGAATAAAATCATGAGACCTTTAGATCAAAGAGGACAATATCTTACAGGTTAGGTACGAATCTCTACAAATGATATTAAAGCGATATTCAGTCTTAATGGGAGTTAAGTGCTACATGGTGGGAGCCACCTCTAAAATTCTGCTAGAGCTAAGTGTTACATGATGAAAGCCACCTCTAGAATCCCCACGTCTAGTGTGATCCTATGATTTGTGTGCATTTTATGTTGGGCTTGCCCAATGTTTGGTGTGATTCAATGAATCTGTGTGTTTTGTGTTGGGCTTGATAGGAACATCAAGCTTTAATGGAGGAGTTTATGATACCTCAATCCTAAATCGAGATATTTTGAGGATCTGCCATGATATATAAGTAAGACTTAATCCCAAATTTGTAAGATGCCTTTTGTGGGATAAAACCATGACATATTTGGGTTAAAGTGGATAATATCTCACAGGTTGGGTGCGAGTCTCCACAAATGGTATCAGAGTGGTCACTAGTCGGATAGGAGCTAAATGCTACGCCATGGGAGCCACTTCTAAAATTTTGTGAGAGTTAAGTGCTACACAGTGGGAGCTATCTTTAGAATCCCAACGTTTGATGTGACCTTATGATCTATGTATGCTTTTTGTTGGGCTTGTCAAACATTTGGTGTGATTTGATGGATCTATGTGCTTTTTATTGGGCTTGATGGAGACATTAAGCTTTAATAGAGAGAGTTTGTAACATCGCAATCCCACATTGGAATGCTTTGAGGATCTGCTATAATATATATGTAGAAGCTTAAACTCAAATTTATGAAATACTTTTTGTGGGATACCAGACATACCTTCTTCAGACATCTTCAAACACTACTTCACGATCTTTTGGACCCACGAACCTCGAACCTCGAACCTTGCTCTGATACCACTTGTTGGGAAAAACAATAATACCCACGCGCAGCAACCACACACAAAATAACAAGCTCAAATCAAGAATAAGAAAACACAAATATATTTGGTTCAGCCCAACTCAAAATGGCCTACTCCAAATCTAATCCACTATCAAATAAATCTTTACAATTGTGAGACTTTTAGAATGAGAAAAGTCTCCTAAAACTCCTTACTCAAAACTTAACCCAAAACCCAATTACACCCTTTAATAGCCTACTCACTTAGCTATTCTCTTGGTGTCTAACTCTCTGAGGTTACTAAACTAAAACCAAAACATCTTATTTATAGGGGTGAAACCCTTTATACCTTTACTAAACTCCCGATGTGAGATACAAGACAAATTCAAACTTACTTAACTTTCGATGTGGGATTCTGAGATTCAAGGCAAATCCCAACAGTTTGTGCATTGGAGTATCTTCATCATTACTGTGACCTCTAAACAAGCAATATTATACTTGATGATGAAATGGTTGGCCATGTAGGTGACTTTAGGCTAGCAAAATTCACTACATCAGACATGCAAAATAACAGTTTAGGCCTGTCAAGCTCCCTTGAGTCAGTACGCATGATTTCAATTGTTAGTACTTTTGATTCCAAAATTAGCATTGATCTGTACATATGCTACTAAACAATCATGATATTAATATACTTAATACATATTTTTAGTATTCATTTTCTTAATTTAGTGACCATATGGTGATAGAAATCTAGGATGATAATCTTAATCAGCAGACACTAATAGGTGAATCCCATTAAGTAGGCCAGGGACCTATTAGTCCAGTAGTCCGACATCTTCAGCTCTGACAGGAAATTGCCAGAAAAGTAATTTCCGATGGCCATATAACTTACCAAGTCAAATGATTAGCGGTTCCAACACTTCATTGTTGACTGGAGATAAAACCAGAGTCACAAAAGTCCTACATTGCACTTAGTTCTTGTTGAAGAACTAAGCACTGTCAAATCGTGTACAAACTAATCTCAGTTCAGAACTTTTCTGGCTTGATGATGAAGCAATCAAGCAAGCATTTGGAACTTTCCAGCTCTCTTTTCTTTGTTTACCTTTCCCTTATTCTCCTTACGTTCTTTAACCTGCAAGGTCCTAAGTTGCTCGGTTTAGCGATCCCTGTGGTTAGCGGAAATGAGACAGATCGACGAGCTTTACTCGAGTTCAAGGCCAAGATAATTGATGATCATTTCGGGGTTATGCGCTCGTGGAACAATAGTAACCACTTCTGCCAGTGGTATGGTGTTGCATGCGGTCGCAGACATCAAAGAGCCACCATGTTGGACTTGGGATCCCTAAAGCTCGTGGGTTCTATATCACCATTTATTGGAAATTTGAGCTTTCTTAGGCTGTTAAACCTGGAAAATAACAGCTTCAACCAAGCAATTCCTCAAGAAATTGGCCGTTTGAAAAGATTGCGTGTATTAATACTGCAAAACAACACCCTAAGTGGTGAAATTCCTGCCAATTTGTCTAGATGTTCTCGGCTTGCATCAGTTAATTTTCGAGGCAACCTGCTAACTGGAGAAATACCAGGTGCGCTTGGTATGTTGTCAAAACTAATACAGTTTAGTTTTCGCAAAAATAATTTAAGAGGGAGTATCCCGACTTCCATGGGGAACTTATCCTCTCTGGTGTCCATGAATCTGGGTGAAAATATATTGAGTGGTGTTTTACCTGAAGCTCTTGGCAAACTGACAAATCTTGAAGTTTTCGTTGTGACGGATAATGGAATTTCTGGTGTTATCCCTGCCTCAATTTTCAATCTCTCTAATGTTAGAGTTCTTCATATGAGCATAACCCAGATACATGGTAGTCTTCCATCGGACTTGGGAATCAGCATGCCACATATTGAAATCCTTTCTGTCTCAAATAATCAATTGACTGGACCATTCCCTGTTTCAATATCCAATGCCTCAAACCTCGTAGAGTTGTCTGTTTGGGAAAACAAACTTTGTGGAAACTTGCCTTCATTTCAAAATCTGGATAAACTATCACGATTTTTTATCGGTATTAACCTTCTTGGAAATACGATAGCAACTGACCTGAACTTTCTTTGCACTTTAACCAATGCTTCCAGACTAGAGCAGCTATGGATAAACGCAAATAACTTTGGAGGGGAATTACCAGAGTGCATAAGCAATTTATCTAGCAATCTGCTAGGTTTAAATATGCAACAGAATAGAATATTGGGAAGAATTCCAGCTGGGATTGGAAATCTCATCAACTTGGAGGTACTAGCGGCAACAGACAATCAATTATCAGGTGCTATTCCCCCTGCCATCGGGAGGCTTCAAAAGCTAGGGATATTTTTTGTATCTCAAAATTCACTCTCTGGGGTTATTCCCCCTTCTTTTGGAAACATGACAATGTTAATAAAACTTGCTCTACGTGATAACAATCTTCAGGGCAACATTCCTTCAAGTCTAGGTAAGTGTGAGAATTTGATTGGATTGGATCTGTCTAATAACAACCTTAGTGGTTCTATACCCCCTGAAGTAACTGGTCTCTCATCCTTGTCCCTTACCCTAGATTTGTCTTCAAACTATTTAACTGGTGTGCTTCCTGTTGAAGTAGTAAATCTGAAAAATCTAGGTGAATTGCGTGTTTCTCAAAATAGCTTATCAGGTGTGCTTCCAACAAATCTTGGTAGCTGTGTAAAACTGGAGAGACTGTTCTTGGATGGCAATATGTTCCAAGGGCCCATTTCTTCATCTTTGAGTTCATTGAAAGGTCTTATAGAACTAGATATATCTAGCAATAATCTGTCGGGTGAAATTCCAAACTTTCTTGTGAGCTTTGGGTCATTACTATATTTAAATATTTCTTTCAATAATTTTGAGGGTATGATACCAATTGAAGGAGTCTTTAAGAATGCAAGTGCTATATTCGTTGAGGGAAACAATAAGCTTTGTGGAGGCACCCCTGAGTTACGGTTGCCCAGATGTAACTCCAAAACATCCATCAAGAGATCGGCCGATACTCTAAAATTGAAATTTGCGATTCTTTTTTCAATTTTTGGAGTGATTTTGGTGGTTTCTTTTCTTTTTATTTTGTGGTTTAGAAGGAAAAGAGAACAGACAAAGGCAACTTGTGCAGAAAATCCACTTTCAATGTTATCAATGTCATACCAAAGCATTTTAAAGGCAACTGGTGGATTATCACCGGAAAATTTGGTTGGTTTTGGTAGCTTTGGTTCGGTATACAAAGGAATTTTTGAAGAGAGTGGAGTTGTTATTGCCATTAAGGTGCTTAATCTTCTAAGTCATGGAGCTTCCAGGAGTTTCATGGCTGAATGTGAGGCTTTGAAGAACATCAGGCATCGGAATCTTGTCAAAGTATTAACAGCAATTTCAGGGGTCGATTATCAAGGGAATGATTTTAAAGCATTAGTTTATGAGTTCATGCAAAATGGGAGCTTGGAAGATTGGCTCCATCCTTCTGTTGGCATGAATGTGGTACAGGAGGCACCAAAAAGCTTAAATTTTTTTCAGAGATTGAATGTGGCGATTGATGTTGGTTGTGCACTGGAGTATCTTCAGCATCACTGCGAAACACCAGTCGTTCACTGTGACCTTAAACCAAGCAATGTTCTACTTGATGATGAAATGGTTGGCCATGTTGGTGATTTTGGACTAGCAAAATTCATTGCATCAGACCTGCAAAATAACACTTCAAGCCTGTCAAGCTCCCTTGGGTTAAGAGGAACAGTTGGTTATGCTCCTCCAGGTAAGTAGACTACCATATATTTTGTATACGTATAGTTTTCATCAATATGTTATTGAGTTAAACATGTTAAGAGCTTTGATTTGAGAAAGCTTTTTGCACCTATGAAAAAATTGTTGCTCTTATTTGTGACAAATGAATTGCAGAATATGGCTTGGGAAGTAATGCGACAACATATGGTGATGTGTACAGCTATGGCATTCTTTTGCTGGAGATGTTTACAGGGAAAAGACCTACTGATGAAATGTTTACAGAGAATCTGAACCTTCATTACTTTGTTAAAACAGCTTTGCCAGATCGAGTAGCTGAGATTACAGATCCCATTCTTCTTCAAGAAAGTTTCAATGAAAGCAGCCGAAACGTTAACAGACTTCTTTGGGGCTTGAATTCTATATTTGAAATTGGAGTTGCCTGTTCTTTTGAATTGCCAACTGAACGAATGAACATGGCTAATGTTGTTGCTAAGCTTTGTTTTATAAGAGACAATCTGCTTCCAACTCGATCATTAAGAACAAGAGGTACTAATATTATTTTATCTGAAGTAATTTAAACATTTTTGTCAAAATCTTCCATCCTTTATGACCTATTTTGAAGGTTTAATTATTTCCTTCAGCTGCAGGTACTGCTTGATGGCTTTTCTTCCTATTCTCTTGTTTAGTGAACTGAATGATCAAATCTGTGAGAATATTGGATTTAGTTTAAGTTCTTAATCCTGTATCTACATTTCATGAATAAATTTTTCACTTTTAATTGTAATTTTTTTTTAATATTTGAGACTGTAAAAAATTGAATCTGATTACTATAACTAAGAGTCTAGCATTCTATTATTTTATATTTCAAGAATAATATACTTTTCTAGTGCTTATTGCTTAACATTCTTTGATTTAGGATGAGATTATGTCTAAATTTATCTGGTATTTCAGCTATATTTAATTCTTAGAGAAATGAATTTTAAGAAGCCAAATGCCTTATTCATTGCTCTAGAATGGCTTCCGTTAAAGTAGATTGGTCCATTGACCACGCAGAAACAAAATCTTTCTAGGGGATTTGAAAATAATTGTAGCGTTATGTTTTTATACCTGTTATTTATTTTTTTTCTTAGTCATGCATTTGAAAATAGGTCGCAAAATGATTTTATATTTCTAAAACCTTTGATAAAGTGATGAAATTTGACAAACATGAACTTATGATAAGACTAACTCATGATTTAAAGTCAAATATCAATTCCATTATTTAAAAAGTAAGGATGAAATTCATTTTTTCCTGATAGAAGTAGCATCGGATCCTCGGTTTTTAACTCAAATTATCACAATTTTTATTTCTGAACTTAAGACATCAGTCTATCACTAGCAACAAAGAATCTTATTACACCGAAGATCTTAATATATATAATTTGTTCACGTTAATTTATGTAAGATTATAATCAGCACATTCAAAATTTAAAACCTTTTGGCTGCATTCCAATTAATTGGACAAAGCCAGCAGTATAATTTCAGTCAAATATGTAACGATCTGATGCTGTGTTCCAAGGACGAATCCACCTCATTAATCCTGTGCCTGTCAATGGTTTTGTTGTGATACTTGATAAAACGTAGGGTCGGTTGATTTTTGATGTCAAGCGTTTGTTCGAAATTGCTATTTCTTTGATTGATTGACCAAAGGAGTTTAAATCAGATTTTCCAAATGTCTATTGACTTTTATTCTAGAGGAACGAACTAGTTCAACGACTTGCTTCATTAAAATAATCAGTTTGTCTCCAGCGTTTACTTCTTGGTCGCCATTGCATCAAGACCAAGACGGACCTGGTGTGGAACTGACTCGACAGAGTCCACCGAGTGGGCTTCTAGTTGAGTGAACGAGTCGGGTAACGTTGCCATTGTTTTGTTTATGGCAAGGTCTTGTACAAACACGTTAAATTTTAACCAAAAAAGCAAAATTCTTTGGAGGTTGGCAGTCTGAAGTCTCTGACTCAACGAGGGCTAAAATGGAAGGCGATCACTCTTAGAATCTTCAGGGGTTTTGTTAAATGGACTGCTTCTTTTGGGCCATTTTAACCGGGGTTTCATTGCGTATCTATAAAAACTCTATAAATATTATAGTCAACTAGAATTAGATCTGTTCGTTGAGGTATTTTTTTTTTTTAAATTATGTTTTATAAATGAGAGAAATAAAATTTTATATTAAGCTTTAATAGATGATAATATATAGATAAATATAAATATATTTATTTTTTAATGTAAATAATAATTTAATTATATATAAATATAGTTTTTTTATTAAATAAAGGTATTAAATAATATATTTATTAATATAATACATATATATAAATTAAATAAATAATTAAATATATATTTTATATATATATGAGGTTAGTTAGATAAAGCTTCTCAAACTCAATACCAGCTTGATCTAAATTATTTAAAAAGATAAAACTTAACCTAATTCTTTTTGTTAAAAAAAAAAAAAAAACCGCATCCATTGTATTATGACGAATTGAAGCTCATTGAAAATATATGTTTTGTCATCCTTACATTTATTGATATATTTTTTTATAAAATTTATCTAATAAATAAAATTTTAAAAAATAAAGAAAATGACAAAAAAAAGATAAATGGGATAACATATGAATTTATTAAATTAAAGTATTAAATAATATTTTTTACCAAAATACATATTTAAATATAGAATTAAACAAATAATAAATATTATATATATATATATATCAAGGCCAAGATGTAACACCCAAAACCTTTTTTTTATGATTAAAAATAAAAACTTGACTCAAATTATCTTAAATTAAAAGAAAATACACAAATTGAATTGAGATGAATCGAACTCTATCAGATATGAGCTATTTTATTATCTCTATTTTAATTGAATTTTTTATTATAAAATTTATCTAATAAAAAAGTAAAAAAAAAATCAAAAAATGCAAAGGCTTTAAAAAAAAAAGAAGGGAAGTGCCACGTGAATGCTTGTGACAGGATAAAACACCTTAAATTCGTCTGATCTTATTTTTTAAAAAAAAATCTTGATTTAATATTTATTTTTTAAGCACTGTATTGGATCTTTGCGAATCAAAATTAATCGAATATGAATTATTTAATCATTATTATTTTAGTTGGATTTTTTATAAAATTCATCTAATAAAAAATAAAATTAAAAAGCTAAATTAAAAAAATTAAAAAACAAAGAATGGAGGAAAGATAGATGCGTGGACACCCTCTCCTTCCCCATTCTCTACACAATTACTTAAGTATATAGATATCTTATTTGCTTGGTCTATCTTTAAATGAATGAACAAAATTAATATTTTAGTTTTATTTTATAGTAAAAAAATCTCATTACAAGAAAATAAGAGAATTATGTGTGTACGTGCCTCTATATATATATATTTAAAAAAAAAAGACCGTGAATTAAGAATGCTTAAGCTTGATGGTTTGAGTAAATGGGATTATTATTATGAATAGCATTTCGGAAGTGTATAAAACTCATTCGGAGGTGATTTTTTTGAAAGAAATAAGGTAAAGAAATTTATGCTTTGTGTAATGAAGTTTTAATGGTGTTGTTTTATCATTTCTAATTGAGTTTATGCAGCTTCAAAATTAAGTTTCTTCGCCAAACCATGGACATGATAGAAACTGGAATGTCTGCCAAGAAATTGCAGATGTTGTTGCAGTCTACTTTTGTTTTAGTTACCCAAAAAAGACTAGTTTCAGCAATTTCCTTACCCATACATGAAAGAGAAACAGAAAATAAGGAACAAGAATCATCACAACACTGATTAAACAGGTAGCAACTGTAGTGTAGCAGAATTACTAGTACAATCACAAGGCTGAAACACTAGAAATATTCTACTTTGACTCTAACCAGAGAAGAAGAACAACTTGCACTGTAATTGGAAATGATAATGTTGCCTTCAATGGGGTAATCGAGTTGGAAGAAGCTTATCTCCCACAGAACAAAGCTCCGCTGTAACATTAGTCATGTTCATTCGCTCGCTTGGCGATTTAGCAGAACAAGTGACTCCAATACCAAATATTGAAATCAAGCATTGAAGGAATCTCTCAACTCTCTGCTTGCTCTGATTGACTATTTCCTGAAGAAGAATGGGATCTGTAATCTCAGCCACTCTTTCTGGCAAAGCTTGCTTAACGTAGTTGCGGAGGTTCAAATCCTCTTTAAACATGTCATCGGTCGGCCTCTTCCCAGTAAACATCTCCAACAAAAGGATGCCATTGCTGTACACATCACTACAGGAAGATACTTTCTTTCCCAAGCCATATTCTGCAAATTTTATTCATCACAAATTTTCAATCATGGTAAAGGATATCGCATATAATGTATTAAGATGACTGTTTCATACCCGAACTCTTAATCGATATGATGAGTTAGCTAGGATTAATGTGGAAAGTTACTGTAAGGATTATATCTGACATTGATAGGAATGAATAGAAGTGCGTAATTACCTGGTGCGATATAACCAATAGTTCCTCTTAATAAGCTTGATAGGCTTGTAGAGTAATTTTGCATATCGGCTGACATGAATTTTGCTAATCCAAAGTCACCTACATTGCCAACCATTTCATCATCAAATAGAATATTGTTTGGTTTGAGGTCACAATGAACAATTAATGTTTCACAATGATGATGAAAATAGTCCAATGCGCAAGCAACATCAACAGCAACATTCAATCTCTGAGAAAACTCTAACTTCTTTGGTGCCTCCTCTGCTATGTTCGTGCCAACAGATGCATGCAGCCAATCTTCTAGGCTTCCATGGACCATGAACTCATAACCAAGAGACTTAAAATCATTGCCTTGATAATCAACACTCGAGCAGGCAGTTAATGTCTTGACAAGATTTCGATGTCTAACATTCCTCAGGGTCTCACATTCACGTATGAACTCTTCGATGCTCTGTGGCTCAAACGATTATTTTCTTTTCTTGACAGCAAGAAGTGTTTCATTTTCTTCGAGAATTCCTTTATATACAGAGCCAAAGCTACCGGCACCTACCAAATTTGCTGATGAAAACCTGTCGGCAGCTTTTAGGTGCTTTGGTAAGATAACTGTAAAGGTGAATTTCCCAAATAGTTCGCTGTAGGCTGCTTTCTTTTCTTCCTAAACCAAACCAGAACAAGCAAGGAGAAGACCAAAGTTACTCCTATAATTCCAGAAACAATAACAGTTATTATTTCTGGCAAGCTGGTTCTACTCCTCGACGAAATTTTATATTTAGGCAAGTGGAAATCAGGTGAGCCTCCACAGAGCTTACTGTTTCCCTGAATGAAAGTCGCACTTGAGTTCCTAAAAATTCCTTCAGTTGGTGCAGCACCTTCAAAATCATTATAAGAAAGATTCAAAAATTTGCAATGACCCAAAACTCCCCAAAAATTTTGGAATTTCACCTGAGAGGTTGTTGTGAGAAAGTTCTAAAACTACAAGTCCTCTCAATAAACTCAAAGAGTTAGGAATAGACCCTCGGAAAAAATTGCCCCCTAGAACTAGTTCCTCCAGTCTAATACAACTTCCAAGAGTGCTTGGAAGCACACCTGATAACATGTTCCGAGAAACATCTAATGCACCAAGAACTTTCAAATTTCCTACTTCAGTGGGAAGTACACCAGTCAAATGATTTGAAGATAAGTCTAGAGCAATGGACAAGGATGAGAGACCAGCTAATAATTCTGGGGGTATAGAACCGCTAAGGTTGTTATTAGAAAGATCCAATGAAATCAGACATCTGCATTTACTAAGACTGAAAATTGTTGTGACCTAAATGCAGTTTGATCAACTTCTTTAAATTCCCTAAAGAAGGGGGAATACTTCCGGACAGAGAATTTTTTCTTACATCGAATACTCGTAGCTTCTGGAGCATTCCGATTATAGGGGGAATGTGACCTGATAATTGATTGTTATATGTTGTTAGCATTTCCAAGTTGATGAGATTCCCGATCCCAGCTGGATTTCTTCCCCATATTTCATTATTTTCTATGGTAAAAATTCCAGATTTATTGACAAATTGCTTATGCACTCAGGTATTATTGTTGGGAAAAACAACAATACCTACGCGCAGCAACCACACACAAAATAACAAGCTCAAATCAAGAATAAGAACACACAAATATATTTGGTTCGGCCCAACTCAAAATGGCCTACTCCAACTTAATCCACTATCAAATAAATCTTTACAATTGTGAGACTTTTAGAATGAGAAAAGTCTCCTAAAACTCCTTACTCAAAACTTAACCCAAAACCCAATTACACCCTTTAATAGCCTACTCACTTAGCTATTCTCTTGGTGTCTAACTCTATGGGGTTACTAAACTAAAACAAAAACATCTTATTTATAGGGGTGAAACCCTTTATACCTTTACTAAACTCCCGATGTGGGATACAAGACAAATTCAAACTTACTTAACTTTCGATGTGGGATTCTGAGATTCAAGGCAAATCCCAACAATTATCCCACCAAAAGTGTTATTGTTCATATTCAACACCTGTAGGCCTGTGGCATTGGTCAAGGTGCAAAGAAAGTTAAAGTCATCGGCTCTCCTACTTCCAAGAAGGTTGCCAGCAATGGCAAACCACTGCAGCTTTTCCAGCTTGTCGAAGGAAGGCAAATTTCCAGTAAACGTGTTTAGCACAACTTCAAGTTGTATGAGATTTGAGGAATTGGATATTGAAGCAGACAACGACCCAGAGAGTTGGTTATTACTGACAGCAAGTACTTCAAGAGATGGTATGGTGAATCGTAGGTCCCAAGGAAGAGTACCTTCAATTCGGTTTGAGCCAATATCAAGAACTTTTAGATTGGACAGAGTGAAAAGTGAGGAAGGAACAAGACCAGAAAGTTCATATTCTGCCACAGAAAAAAATGTAAGATTTGCGAGATGGTCAAGAGTTTCAGGAATAGCACTACTCAATCTGTTTTGAGCGAGAGAAAGTATCTCAAAGATGTTAGGTTACCAAAGGAAAGCGGGATACTACCGCTTAAACTGTTGTGGTATAAAGATAACTACCTTTAGGTTTGACAAGCTGCCAATAACAACAGGAATTTCTCCAACTAGTTGGTTGTTTGAAAGTTTAATAACTCTGAGTTTAGAGCAACCAGAAATATTGGAAGGAATTTCACCAACTATGGAGTTGTTGGAAAGTTTCAACTCTTGCAATCTACGCAAACGGCCAACATCTTGTGGGATTTCACGGCTGAAGCTATTGTTTTGAAGATTCAACACTTTTAGAAAGCTCAAGTTTCCAAAAGATGATGAGATGGGCCCCACGAGTTTCCATGATTGCAAGTCTAACTCGATTACTCTCTGACGTCAGCGACTGCATGTAATTCCAGGCCAATGGCAGAAATGGACTGAATTGTTCCACAAATGCATGACCCCAAGCTGATCACTACTGATCTTGGCTTTGAACTCCAGCAAAGCTTGTTGATCCGTTTCATTTCCACCAACTCCAAAGCTTGCTATACCTAATAAGATAGCAATTTGCAGGTTGATTAATAAACAACAATGCAAAAGGGTGAAAGAAACCAAGACACATATGGTTGGGAATTCCATCAAGCAGAATACAACGCCCATCATTGAGTGCAGGTTGTAATTGGCAGGGCTTGGTTCATTAACAATAACTAAAGAGCGCTTCTTTTTTTTTTTTTTTCAAATATTTGTTTTAGCTTTATGATCTGTAAAACATCATTACTCTCAAAGCTCGATTTCTTGACATTATGGGGTAATTTCTACTCTTGAATAAATGATTAATTTTGAGATAAAGGTGGACAATGAAAATATCCACGTTAAATCTTCAATTGGCTTTATATCTTTTATCTTTTATTATTTTTAATTAGATAAATTTTAAAACAAAAGGTGCTAATTGATAAAGATAATAAAATAATTTATATTCAATGATTTCGATTTATCTCCATATAACAGAGACCAATTTTTTTTTAACCAAAATCGAAATGAGATAAGATGAAGTTTTTTTTTTTTTAAAGAAAAATGAATTCGGAGCAGAAACGTGTTTAGTGTCTTTTGTTCAAATTTATTTTCTTTGAAAATATAAAAGAATATATATTTTATTTTTAATTTATAATACATTATATTAATAAAATTATTATTTAATATTTTAATTTTAATGCATTGGGAGTATCTATACAGCATCCTCTATAATTTTTTTATTTTTTATTTTTTTATTTTTATTTTTTGGTTTTGTATTTTTCATTTTTTTATTTTTTTATTAAATAAATTTTATAAAAAATAAAACCAATTGAAATATTTACGTATTATCCCATTTGATTTTGTTGATCTTTCTTTTTTAGATTTTTTTAATTAGATAAATTTCATAAAAAATAATAAATAAAAATAGAAAAAATTCGTAATATCGTGTGTATTGTGATAGTCTTGATAAAAATTATAGAAAAAAAATATAACTTTGATAAAACCCCAAACGATGAATTTGTAATTGTTATAATTAAAATTTGACGTAGCCAATTAAATCACGTAGTAGCAGCAAAAGCTGATCAAAACAACAACTTAAAAATGACATTGATCAATTCAAAGCACTAATCAATAAAAACTCGAAATAAGAAAAAATTTGTAAAAAAAAAAAAAAAAAAAACACTACAAATCTAAACACCAATGCATTTATATTGAAAAGAGTTGGGTTGCCGTTCTTCAACCCCATCTTCCAAATTGCAAAATTCCACAACCATCTACCAATTGGATGCCTTCAGCCGACTCCAATTAACATTAATAAAAGTCACAAAATATATATATCTTTTAATAAAAGAGGGCCAACAGCCCACTATATCTTCTAGCATGAGAGATTTCAAGTCTCCAAGAGCTTGATGATGAATTTGAATTCCTGCTGCTTGAGATAGATTTTCGTTAGCCAGCCAATCAGCTATTAAGTTTTTTTTTTTTTTTTTTTTGTGGGAGATGGGTCAGCCTCCATGATCAACTAGTGTTAAGAATAGGGGTGTAATCGAATCGAGTCGATACAGTGAGAAGCTCGAGCTTGAGTTCAGCTCTCAACTCGAGGCTCGATACTCGGCTCGAATTCGATCGAGTTTCATTTTCCTAACTAAAGCTCGATTCGTGATCGAAATCGAACTACTCGAACTCACTCGATTAAGCTCGATTAATATGTTAAAATAAGTTCAATTCTTATATTCGACAAGAGTTCAATTATTTGTGTTCGAGCTCGAACTCGAATTCGAGATATTTTAGTAATTAAAATAATAAAAAAAATTTTAATATAAAAGCTCGATTAGGCTCGCGAACTACTCGAGCTAGATATAAGAATACTCGAACTCGGCTCGATCGATAAGTCGAGCTACTCGAGCTCAAACTCGACTCGATAATAATTGAACCGAATTCGAATTTTATTCGAATCGAATCCGAATAGCTTACGAGTACTAATATATTATTTACACCCCTAATTAAGAGGTTTTTGATTGCTTGGAAATTTGAGCCTAATTCTATCTCCCCTTTACCAAAGCCAATACATTTTGCCACTTTAATTCCATGATAAAAGTACTTAGAATGGCTCAATTATTGTCGAAATCCAGGATAAAAGCCAACCCCAAGTAGATGCTTTTTCCACTAAAAGCAGGGTTTATTTTGTTAGGAGCATTTAGTGATAAAAAGGTATAATGATTGTTTTTTCAATTAGAAGTCTTCAGCAAATAACTAGAGGTAATTCTGACAGTTGTGCCGACATGATATATCAAGTTAATTTGACAAATTCAGGGTCACATCAACTTAATTTGACAAATTCAATGTCACATCAACTTGACACTATCCTTATTATACTCTAATGATCCCCCATCACTTATTTATAAATATGAAAGTCCAAGCAAATATTGAGGCAAGTTCAATCTACCCCTATTTTCTCCATATTACTCTCATTTTGACCTCATTTATTTTAATTTGCATATTGAAGTGTAAACGCAGATTACACTCTTTGCCTTTGCATTGGAATGCAAACGTAGGGAATACTTCTTACCTTTATCTCTAAACATTCTTATCTTTTGTCTTATCAAAAATACCTTGAGGCCTGAGCTCGGCATAAACATTTGGCACACCAGGTAGGGGACCTTTCCATCCACTAGCTAAGCACTAAATGATGCCACCAAGGAATAAAACCTTATAGGAAGAAGAGACAGCTATCCTAGCTAGAATAAAAATACATAACAATTAGCACTCAGAACAACCTCCACCACCATAGATAGACCCAACCATGGAACAATTTCAGACCTTGATCAAGTAAATCTAGGCCCTTAAACAGATGTTACAAACCATACTCCACCATAAGTTTCGAAAGTGCCTAACTTAATCATCCCAAGTCGAGGAGCCATAGTAAGACAACCAAGCTATGAAAAGCTAGAAGCCTTCTTAGCCTCCAAAGAAAAGCATAACACTCCAATTCACCTTTACCCTAGCCACAACTTAACACATGCCACAACCTAAAAATCTAAACAGATGAACCTTGAACCTTAATCAAATAAGTATTGGGAAGCTCGGATACAAGCTATAGAAAAAGAATTGAAAATAAGAGTAGTGGCACTCAAGGACGAGCTCAAGTTCCTGGAGGCCTCGCTAATTTGCCGAAGAAATTGACAAAAGCCATACCTTCGAAAGGATTTAAAATGTCGACCTTAAAAGCCTACGATAGTACTTCTAGCCTATTTGATCATTTAAAACTTTATGTGACTAACATGATAGATGCAAGGTATAGATAAAACTCTAATGTGCAAAGGCTTGGCTACCACTCTGAAAGGCATAGCTTGATCCTGGTACAGCAGCCTGGAACCAAGGTCAATTATAACATTCAAAAAGTTTAGCCACTTTTTCCTGTCTAGATTTATGAGTAATTGAAGAGCAAAAAAGACAACTTTGAGTTTGATGTCAATCCACCAAGGTCGCAATAAATTTTTGAAAAGCTATGTCACATGTTTTAACATGAAAGCTTTATAGGTTAAAGACCTAGAGCAAACAGCCACTGCAGCCACCCTAACAAGTGGACTCAACAACAAAGAGTACCACCTAAAATTAACCTTGTCTCTGACGAACATCTAAAACTCTGACGAACATCTTACTGATAGCTGAAAAATATATAAATGTCGAAGCTACATTGAAAAACAACCAAGGTCAATCAGGCTCTCAGTTGAAAGAAAGTAAAATTTTTATGATCTTTCCCTAAAAGAGAGATGACATAAGGCTAGAAGCCTTAGTAGAGAAAGGAACTACACTGCATTAAATACCTCTTGAGAGAGGATTTTGATGTAAATTAAAAGAAATCCTGACCTCAAACGACCAAAACTATCAAGACATAACATAATGAGTGATCTGACCAAAAAATGTATCTTTCATAGAGACATAGGTCACAATACCAAAAATTATGTCGACCTGAAGAATAAGATTGAAGCTTTGATAAGGAGAGAGTAACTAAGGAGGTTTATATAGAAGTGAAGATAGGGCCAACCTAGAATGGACTATAGACAAGATTGAAGAGAACCCACCTGGGGTAAAGAGAAAAGGATAAAAAATGGAAGAAAAAAAGCCCAAAGAGATGAGTTGATTCAAGAAGAGGTCTGAACTAATAATAATAGGTCGATCGTCAAGGTGATTAATGTGATCATTGAAGGCAACTCTATCTCAACAAAAAAAAATTCAATCTAGACATGGTCATGACCGTAGGCACCTTGGCAAAAATAGATAAAGATTGGAAATATGAATCAATTTCATTTAGTTGAAAGACCTAGAGGGAATCTAGCACCCACATGATGACGTTATAGTGATCACAGTCGTAGTGTACAATTATGTTGTCAAGAAAATCTTGTTTGATAATGGAAGCTTGATCGACATTATGTACTACAACACTATGAAAAAGATGAAAATTAGTGAAGATTAATTGTACTCGATTTAAGAATAAGGAGGTATTGGTGAAAAGAACCATCAAGCTATTGATTTTCTTGGGAATAAAACCAAAAACTATCACCTCAATCATAAAATTTATGATTATTGACGTCCCATCAACTTATAATATGATATTTGGTCAACCTAGCTAATTTGTTATGTAGCTCATAGGCTTAACTCTCCATCTGAAGGTGAAACTCCCAACACCCAAAGGGTTGGAGAGGTCAGGGGAGACTAGTCCATGGCACGATAGTGTTACGTCACAACAACAAAAGAAAAGACTAGAAAACAAATTGGCAATTTGGTTGAAAATAAAAGCACTAAAAAAGGGCAAACAACAAAAGTCGACAAGAAGCAAGAAATCATAAATAAGAACATAAAATGTTAAACCAACTTGACAAAAGTGCACTATTAAACTGCTCTAAGCTCTTGAGCTCTAATAAAAAAAACATTTTGTTCTATTTTTTAAATTTTTTGAGGTAACTTCAAAGATGACCGAACTCTTAAGTCGGTGTGAACAACTATATGTCATTTAGATCAAGTTAATATATTGACCAAAATATAGCATGAAATGAAAAATACATACCAATTTCACTACATATATATATTTAGCAAGTCATTAACAATACACTGATTATCACGTCGAGATCTATTTTCATAAAAAA